CTCACAAAGGACCAACGCCAGTTGCTCTTTATAAACAAAAGTCTTTATTGTGGTTCATTGTTGGTTTGACATCCGTGGCGCGCAGCGCTACGTCTGAGTCCTTAGACCGGCGAAGTCCCGTATGAATCCGCCCCTCCTTTACACCAGTTCAATACCCGAGCTTTGCTCCACCTCTTCCTTTCCTCCCTCTGCTCCTTTCGCCTCCGGGTCCTCCTGCCCTCTGGGGTCCCAACCCTCCTGGACTCTTCGGAGGCGGATTCTTCTGACTCCTCCCCCTGTCTCCGGCGGGCTTTGGGACCTGGCTCCCAATCCGGATTTTCTGCTGTCCCTCGCGCCTCTACATTTGAACTTGGCGCGCGCGCCCAGCCGCCCACTTTCCTCCTAACGGCTACACTGCTCCCTTCACTGCTTTCTCCTTCAGGGAGGCTGGACGGCCCTGCTCTCTCCTCCGCCCCTCCACTCTCTGACGGAGGCGTGGTCAGTCCTGCCTCACTCCCTCCTCCTGCAGGAGGAAGCTTTTGTTCTAATCTGTGGGATTCTTCCCCCCCCCGCTGCGCTCTGGTGGGGAAGCTACCCCTGATTTCCAGCTGCCGCTTGGCGACTCCCCACTGGCCCCCCTTGCCCTGACCCTGGGGGCCTCCTTCTGGGAATCTTCTGATTCGCTGGAGAGACTCAGGGAATCTCTCTGGTCACTGTCACACCCTCCTGCGCTCCCCTCCGATTGTTCCCCTTCGCTCTCCATCTCCTCCTTCTCCTGTGGCTCAGTCCCTGAGCCCCTGACAGCATGTTATTAGAGTTTTATTTCCCAGACTTCCTGTGTGTTGACATTGTTTGGATCTTTTCTATCACTGTTCTAAAGATCCAGAGAAAAACAGGAGTAGTTAATATTACATAGGTCAGATGGTGTGACACTTTCAATGGTTGCCTATTAGACTAGCCAAAAAAAAGAAAAGAAAAAAGCTTTCTGTTGTTTTGAACTGTTTTAAATTTTCTTTAATATTGTGTTTTAATATTAATGTTTAGTTTTATTTGTTGTCACCTGCCCTGGGACCTTAGGGTGAAGCACAGGTAATAGACAACAACAACAACAATCACAACAACAACAACAACATTTCATTCTTTAAAAAATAAATATTGAGGTTCTTTCACAGAGTGAGCTTTGTTTTTTCACCAGCAAGATTTTTGCAGAAGAATTTCAAATCAGATAACCAGCATTCAATAATTTTGCAGCTGTCAATTTCCCACTTTGACAGGGGAGGTTTGAGACCTGTTCCTACTCCGTCACAGAAGTGAATGTCTTCCCTGCAATTATCTAAATCACTATACTCGATTGGTATGGCCTAATCTCCAGTGATTTGCAAGAAGGCAGATAGGAAAACAAAATTCAACACCTGAGTATGAAATGATTATAAGCACTCCAGTAATCCACAGACTGCTAAGATTAGGTATAAGAGAGAGGCAGGGCTCTGTCATTTTGATCAATTTCCCTCTTTCTTTGTATAGAAAATCAGGTTGCTGTTTTTTAATTGGCGTTCAAGCCATGCCATTGTAAGCCTTGCTTCCATAATGCTGCTGAGGTTTATGGTAAGGTGTATTCACATCCCTTTGAGTATTGCACTAGCAGAGTTTGTTGCCACCCAAGACATCTTGTTTAAATCAGGCTGATGAGAGTATTAATGCTAACATGAATGTTGCAGACTGAAAGATTCAAGAGAGTCCATGTTCAGGAGGAGTTGTGCTCTCAGAATGGTGCTTCTTCTTCTTCTGCTGCTGCTGCTTTCAAACATGGTGTGCAAAGTTCAAAATGTGACTTGCTTGAGAAATAATGCTGTATATATTCCACATGAATGGCATGAGCGAGGTGATCTCATCATTGGTGGAATGGCATCCCATATCCATTACATTTCCCCCCAACTTTTGTTCAACCAACACCCTGCTCAGTCCTCTGTTAAAACTCCATTGTAAGTAAATGGTCTTTAATTTTATCTTACTGATTCTTTTATATTCATAAGATTGACTGTGAATTATTTTTAAAAAAAGAATAGAAGAGTTTTTTAATGGATGGAAGGAAGGACACAATTGTTAATAAGAATATGAAATGATCAAAAAGTGAACATAGACTATGACGGATATTTTAAAACATGAGATTTTTGTGATCCAATTGCTCATTGTTCTGGTTATAATGCATAGCTGCTTAGCCGCTAGTAGACTGCGTATCACATGTTGACCTCAGCCTAATTCAGTGTGAATGGAGGAGAGAGGAAAAAATGAGGGAAAGAGAGTAGACTGGGTGACAGAAAGAGAGGAAATGGAAGTGGGAGACCTACCAAACAAATCACTTTGGGGAAATAAGTCATTCTATGATTAGATGCCCAAAATATCTACACCACACACTTCAGATATGTCTTGACCAATTTGTGCGCTTTAAAAATGGCAGTCTAGGGTGCATCCAGGTTTTGCAAAATTATATTTGCTGAGGCCTTCATTATACAAATAAATGTAAAAATCAACAAATATTATTTATCTTCTTGTAGCTGTTGTTTCACAGCCTTTTCATCGGCCACCCTGACTTCTTCAATGGCTTACTCATTTGTTTTCAACAGATTCACAATCAACTTCATGCTTTTACTCTCTGGGATTTTTTCCTCCAATATTTTTAGATAAACCTTTTCAAGTAGGGACACCAAATCTCTGGAATGCCTACCCTATGAAGACCCACCTGCTCCTAACACCTTGTTGCCTTTAGATGCCAGCCAAAAATTGTTATTTATAAAGATCTTTTGTGCTACTCACACAATTTTCTACATCTGAAAAGAAGTTATCAAAATATTGAACCATAATTATTCTGAATATTAAAATCTGCATCAGCAGTCATCCACCAAGTACTATATTTGCAAATTTTGAATACTTTCTTCTCAATTTTCTTCTAAATCCTTCACATAGTCTGGAATTTTCAACAGAAACAGCATGCTTTTACTCGTCTCTGAACTCCTCCTTAGACATTTATATTTTCTTAATTGATTGCCATAAATTATTACTGCCCCACATAAATATATATATACTAGCATCCCCCCATAGCCTGTTTTTGAATACCATAGGTTCTTTATCTCATATATGTTCTTTATTCTATACATTAATCAGGAGTTACAATAATAATGAATGCAAGTTAGTCATGAAGTATTGGTTTCAAAGACACTTAATAATTAATACTGAAAATGAAATCTCTGTTCAATCTATGTGAGATATTAACAATCTGATTTGGCTTGAATACAGTTCTTATTCCTAATATACATAATTATATGAAGCAAAAGTCTAAACACACAATTCAGACAATAGTAACCAGAATAGATTTTTCCGTTTTCCAATAAGAAAATCACCAGCTAATTATTAATTTGTTTGTTTGTGCCTCATCCTCATAGTCAGGCAGTTGAAACTATCATATTTAAAGTGGGTGGATATTGTGCTAAAATGATTTTGTGTACTAGTGACAAATGATTTGCAGTGTGGTGACAAAGTTTTACCAGCACATCCTGGCCCTGGTGTTTGCTGTTGATGAGGTCAATGAGAATCCCAAGATCTTACCCAATGTCACTCTCGGATTCCACATCTATGACAGTTACTCCAATCCAAAAATGGCCTACCGTAGTACTCTGGACCTGCTCTTCAAATCACACCAATTTGTCCCCAACTACAAATGTGACACTCAGGAAAATGCAATAGGAGTCATTGGGGGATTGAGCTCTGATATCTCCTTATGCATGGCAGACATCTTAGGTCTTTACAAGATTCCACAGGTAGGATCTGAGCATGAGCTCCATGGCAATGTCTTTTTATCCCTGCCATAAATCACTTCCCATTAGGAATTTGGTATAAAATGGAAACGACTGCATGAGATATAATTTGGGTATTATTATTTTTTTGGGGGGGGAAGATTCTAAAAATCATGTAATGATGAGAATTTATGTAAGTTAATGGGGCAAATATTGAAAGGAAAGTTATACCAAGAAAGAGTATGTGTGGATAATAATAATAATAATAATATCACTCTTCAAGGATCTCAGGGCAGTTCATACGATAAAAATACAGGATAAAAGTACAAAATAAATAGTTAAAACAAAACAAAACAGTAACATTAACCCCCTTCCAACAAACTCATATAAAAGTCCATAGAATATTAAATAGCTTTTCCTTTTTTCCTTTTCAGATTTCATATGGTTCATTTGAACCAGAAGTGAATTATCAACTCAAGCTCCCTTCTTTTTATCGCATGGTCCCCAATGAAGCCCTTCAGTATCAAGGAATTGTCCAGTTATTGCTACATTTCAGATGGAAATGGGTTGGGCTCATCACTCCAGATAATGAAAGCGGAGAACGATTCTTGAAGGCCATGGAGCTAATGTTTTCCAAGAATCAGATATGTTCAGCATATGCTGAAAGAGTTCAATACAATCTGCACTCCTCTGGCAGCATCCTTAATATGGCATCTGAAACAAGGGTTGTATTACCCCCTTTCCTGAAGAGCAAAGCCAATGCAGTTGTTATATATGGAGAAAGAGCAGCTATTATGTGGTTAGGAGTAGCTCTGAGGATAGCTAGGATGGTTCAGATGATATTTCCTCAATACAAAGAGGTCTCTACAGCAAAAGTATGGATTACGACAGCCCAAATTGATTTCACATTAAACATATTTCAAAAACAATTTCGCACTGATATACAAATTTTCCATGGTGCTATCTCCTTTGCTATTCATTCTAAAGAGCTGCAGAACTTCGGCCGTAAATCCTTCCTGGGAAGATGGCGATGGTTTTATCAAAGATTTCTGGGAACAGGCATTCAGTTGTATGCTTTCAAACAGCAGTGTGTCACCAGGCATTGATGAAACGTGTGATGGAGAGGAGGCTCTCGAGAACATTCCGTCTCCTTATTTTGAAATGAGCATGACCAGCCACAGCTACAGTATCTATAATGCTGTCTACGCTCTAGCACACGCTTTACATAGCATGTACTCAGCTAGCGTCAACCACAGGACAATGGAGTACAGGAGCAGGCTGTCTCCTCAGAATGTGGAAGCCTGGCAGGTATTTTTTCCTACTTCCATGTAATCCTGCAGTGTCACATGTAACCATGGGCAAGTTCTGGAATTTAGCCCCTTTAGGACAATAATAAAATTTAAGTAATTCTATTTATCGAAAAGGGGAGTATAATGTAGGCTGCCTTCAGATGTCTTCTAAAAGTCAGATAGTTTATTTCCTTGACATCTGATAGGAAGGCGTTCCACAGGGTGGGTGCCACAACCGAGAAGGCCCTCTGCCTAGTTCCCTGTAACTTTGCTTAAACTAGCAGCAGGCATTTAAAAGGTTAAAACTAATGAGGCAGCCTTCAGTTGTTGAATTTACACTGTGCCATAATTTGCCACTCTCATCTTCCATCTGCTTCCAAAAGTTGGACACCTTCCATTAGTCTTATTGGGAATAAGTCTATACAGAACTTTTTATTTTCTCGTTTTCCTTCTAGCTCCATGCATTTCTTCAGAGGATCTCATTCAACAACAGCGCTGGAGATGAAATTACATTAAATGAACATGGAGAACTGGCATCTGGTTTTGATATTAGAAACTTGGTCACATTCCCAAATCAATCCTACGCTAGGGTCAAAGTGGGAAGTCTGGATCCACAGGCTCCTTCTGGAAAAGAGCTCACCATCAATGAGGACAGAATCAAATGGATTAAAGACCTGGCTCAGGTGGGAAATAGCTGTACAGTCTTCCAAATGCCAACATTATTAGTCACTCAATGAAACAGAAGGGCAAGAGGTGTAAAGAAAACAAAAAGAACATTCCTTCGCATAACACATTATTTAATTTGAAATTCACTGGAATACCATTCCATTCAAATGTATGGCCATAGCTGTGACTTTGTCTTAGTCCTGCCATTAAATTCAGAGTAGCAAGTACTAAACAGAGGTAGTTTCAAGCACACGGATCTCCTGCCTGTGTCAATACCAGCCTTTAAGAGGGTTATATATATCCATCTGTTCCGTCTGACATTTTATTAAGATTATTTTATTGCAATTCGTTCTTTTTAAAATATCATTTTTAGGCTGCAGGTTATTGGCTGTGTGAGTTGCCCCCTCCCATTATATAAATTTGTACTTATTGTACAAATTAGAGTTGGCTGTTCACTATTGTGTTGGCTGAGCTTTCATTGTACATGATATTGAAACTGATCCCCCCATTAAATTTCTGTAAATCATCTTGAGAGCATGGTCCTTTCCGGCATACCCAAAGTTATAGAAATAAAAAAGCTATGACAACAAAAAGAAGGCATTTTTGCTTATCAGAAGTATATAAATAAATAATGGAAGAACAATAAAAACTGTACCATCCAGAGAAGGCATCTCAGACTAAGATGGAGCAGTGGTTGTCAGAAAACCGATGATGTTGCTTGCCATAGCTTTCTTCGAAATCTTAAGCTAGTTCTGCCTTTGGATGGACTAAATATGGACCTTCTAACCTTTTTGAGTTTCTGTGATGCTCGGTAGAGAAATTATTCCTCTCACAGGATGTGCCACTTCTTCACTTATGAACCATATATCAGGCTTCCTCAACCTCTGCCCTCCAGATGTTTTGAGACTACAATTCCCATCATCCCTGACCACTGGTCCTGCTAGCTAGGGATCATGGCAGTTGTAGGCCAAAAACATCTGGAGGGCTGAGCCTGAGGAAGCCTGCCTTATATTATGTATCACTAGCCTTCTAATTTACTAGGGTGCTATAGGATGAAATCCATACATATTTTTCAATACTATTCCACACACACACACACACACACACACACACACACGGTAATGCTAGAAGCCTCTAAGGCGAGATGAGTAAGCTGTATTACTTTGTCTTAGATGAGAGCATGGGTATAATGGGCATAATTTAAACCTGGTGGAATAGAGAGAAACTGGATAAAAACTTTTCATGAGGGATTAAGGGCATTCTAGAGGTGATGTCACTTTGTATGTCAAAGAGGACAAAGTTTCCAGGAGCAAATCCCCAAAACAGCAGTGTACTTATAGAATTGCTGTGGGTGATAGTACAAAGACCTAAGAGTGATTTAATACTAGTATCTCCTATCTTCCCTGTGAGCAAAATGCCTATGGTGAACTTGAGATGGAGAACAAAATCCAGAACGCATAAAAAAGGAAACTGTGGTAATGGGTGACTTCCATTATTCTCACATAGATTGGAACATTCATGTACCCAGCCATGACAAGGAAGTAAAATGTCTAGATAACCTGAATGACTGTGTCCCAGTTAGTCATAGAATTCACAAGTTGGGAGAGTGTGCAGTCAGTTTCTGTTTACAGGCTTCCTATTTGCATGTGGTTGCTGAATGTGAGGACAGTATGCGGGATGAGCTGGGCCTCTGGTCTGATCCTGCAGGGCTCTTATGTTCTTATGCTTCTCTCATATCTTTGCAAAGGTGCCACCCCTTTCGGTGTGTAATGCTTACTGTCCCCCTGGTAATATGAAGAAAAAGAAGGAGGGGAAGAAATTTTGCTGCTATGATTGTGCTCCATGTCCAGATGGGATGTTCTCAAATGAGAAGGGTAGGACAAGCCATGCTAAGATATTCCAAATGACACACTTTATCGCAGTAAACTCCAAGTAGCTCTTTCCCAAGTCATTAATGTGTGTGTGTGTGTGTGTGTGTGTGTGTGTGTGTGTGTGTGTATGTTAAAACTAAGAATTATTTCACATTTATATATAACATGAATGAGGAGCCTATCTTTAGAAATATGGGCAACACATTTTAGCATCAAGATCTAAGATCATTCCAATGAAAGAATGGATGTTTTCAAATAAGAAGAGCAGGACCTGTTCTGTTAAAATATTTTAAAGCATAGCATTTCACATGTGCATATATCATCTTCAGATGCATCTTTAGAAAGGATGGCCATGCACAATGGCAGAGCACAATTCAAAGTGTTGGTGCTGACCTTTAAAGCCCTAAACGGCCTTCATCCTGTATACCTGAAGGAGCATCTCCACCCCCATCATCCAGCCCAGACACTGAGGTCCAGCGCCAAGGGCCTTCTGGCTGTTCCCTCACTGCGAGAAGTGAGGTTACAGGGAACCAGGCAGAGGGCCTTCTCAGTAGTGGCGCCTGCCCTGTAGAAAGCCCTCCCAGCAGATTTCTAGGCAATAAACAACTATTTTACTTTTGAAAGACAACTGAAGGCGGCCCTGTTTAGGGAAGTTTTTAATGTCTGATGCTGTATTGTTTTTAATATTCAGTTGGAAGCCACCAAGAGTGGCTGGGGAAACCCAGTCAGATGGGAGGGGTATAAATAATTTATTATTATTATTATTATTATTATTATTATTATTATTATTATTATTATTATTATTATAAATTATTATTATTATTATTATTATTATTATTATTATTATTATTATTATATCATTCCGATGAATGGAACTTTCAAAAACTATTTAAAGGAACTTGCAGTAGCAATCCTTGGCTCCCAGTTGGTACGAATCAGGTAGGAAAAAACTCTCAAGCTGTCAAGCAAATATTGGAGTGATACAACTTACCCTCTCAATAAAAAGCCATCAGACCAGCTCATACTGTGGCCTGGGTAGGCAGGTACTGAGCTAACAATGAAAGAAAGATCAGGACGAAAGGGGCATGCTTGTAAGCCACTCAATTCATCACCATCTACTCCTGTTTTGTACAGCGCCTGGCTGATCCTTCTTTTCATTTCCTCTACATAGGCTGAACTGATCAAATAGTTCTGCCACCTGCTGTGATATGATGGGGAAACAGGACATGCTTTATTAAGCAGATAGGCAGTTATTTTCATATCTTTGCTTTTAAAATGAAGTGTAAATGAAAGAATTTGTATGCATCATATTTCTGCTGTGTTTGTAAGACTGGGTGAAAATGAATCACTAGAATAATCCTTGGTTTTAAATTGCCATACATTGCAACCTTTTTCAGAAACTTGCATCCATTGCCCAAAAGATAAGCATTCGAACAAGGACCACAATCACTGCATCCCTAAGATCTCAAATTTCCTAGCCTTTGATGACACTTTGGCTATTGTTTCAACTTCCTCTGCACTTCTATTGTCTCTGGTCACAGCTCTGGTGCTAGGCATCTTCATTAAGCACCGGGACACTGCCATAGTCAAAGCCAACAACAGAAGTCTAACGTACATTCTCCTCATCTCCCTCCTCTTGTGTTTCCTCTGCTCTTTGCTGTTCATCGGAATGCCTAATGAGGCAACTTGCCTTCTCCGACAAACAAGTTTTGGCACCATCTTCTGTGTGGCCCTCTCTAGCATCTTGGCCAAAACCATTTCTGTCGTTTTGGCATTTATGGCTACCAAACCAGGATCCAGGATAAGGAATTGGATGGGGAAGAGACTGACTTATTCCATTGTCCTTTCCTGCTCCATTGTTCAAGTAGGGAACTGCATTCTCTGGCTGGCAACCTCTCCCCCATTCCCAGATTTGGACATGCACTCAATGACTGAACAAATTATACTGTTATGCAATGAAGGATCCATCACCATGTTCTATTCTGTGCTGGGCTACATGGGCTTCCTGGCCATTGTCAGCTTCATTGTGGCCTTCCTAGCCAGAAAATTGCCTGGCAGTTTCAATGAAGCCAAGTTTATCACCTTCAGCATGCTGGTCTTTTGCAGTGTTTGGCTGTCCTTTGTTCCAACTTACTTAAGCACCAGAGGAAAATACATGGTGGCAGTGGAGATTTTCTCCATCTTGGCTTCCAGTTCTGGTTTACTGGGTTGCATCTTTTCCCCAAAATGTTACATAATTTTGGTGAAGCCTGAGCTCAACAACAGGGAACAGCTAATACGAAGAAAGTAGTAAATAAATTGATGAGTTTGTATTTTCAACAATGTTTTTATTATCTATATAGTGGCGCTGTGGGTAAAAGCCTCAGCGCCTAGGGCTTGCTGATCGAAAGGTCAGCGGTTCGAATCCCCGCGGCGGGGTGCGCTCCCGTTGTTCGGTCCCAGCGCCTGCCAACCTAGCAGTTCGAAAGCACCCCCGGGTGCAAGTAGATAAATAGGGACCGCTTTCTAGCGGGAAGGTAAACGGTGTTTCCGTGTGCGGCTCTGGCTCGCCAGAGCAGCAATGTCACGGTGGCCACGTGACCCGGAGGTGTCTCCGGACAGCGCTGGCCCCCGGCCTATAGAGTGAGATGGGCGCACAACCCTGGAGTCTGTCAAGACTGGCCCGTACGGGCAGGGGTACCTTTACCTTTACCTTAGGATCATAAAAGAAGTATAAATGAATTGGGAGTATTAAACTATTTCAGTTATGTTGTTGCTTTGGAGGGTTAGGGTTGATTTATAGTCTGTAGAGCCTATGAGAAAAAAGTTCACATGAGTAAAGTTCAACAAAGGATATTTAAATTTAAGGAAGAAATAGGAACCTAATAACCCTACTACCCTTCTAAATGAGTGAGACGCTGATTGATGGAGTAGACCTAAAGCATTTAAGTAAAGATGGTAGATGGAGTTTTTCAGATAGTTAATGATGATGTTACAGTGGATGCTCAGGCATCATTTCTTATGCATGGAATAAAGATTTGACTATTGATTTCTTCTTATTCTATATTATAACTATTGATTTCTGAACAAAAAAAATTCCTTCCAGTAGCACCTTAAAGACCAACTAAGTTAGTTCTTGGTATGAGCTTTCGTGTGCATGCACACTTCTTCAGATACACACTTCTTCAGATGGTGTATCTGAAGAAGTGTGCATGCACACGAAAGCTCATACCAAGAACTAACTTAGTTGGTCTTTAAGGTGCTACTGGAAGGAATTTTTTTTGTTTTGACTATGGCAGACCAACACGGCTACCTATCTGTAACTGGAACTATTGATTTCTGGTTATTCTATTGAATATATTGGTTTTGGATATTTACATGTATGTTTCAAAGAAACAATTCATCTCATATTTGTCTCCAAGGAGCTCAAGGTGGCGTTCATAGTCCTCCCCCCCCCCCCATTTAATTCCCACAGCAACTTTGTGAGACTGAGAGGCAGTGACTGGTCCAAGGTCAGCCAGTGAGTTTCATGGCTGAGTGGAGATTTGAACCACGGGCTCCCAGGCATTAGTTCAACACTTTAACCACACTTTAACCAATACATCACATTGGCTTTCTAGTTATCACAAAGGAAATCTATCTTAATATTCAGGCCTTAGCTACCAACTTTCACTCTAGCTTTGGGGCATTTGCCTCAGACTGCCATCATTAACCAACTTTCCTGAGTGATCTTATTTCTCCTAACTGCTGATTAACTCCCCTTCCTTCATTGACCAGAATCCCCAGCCAATCAGAACCTGTCATTCCCCATTAAAATGAATTCACCTGATCCAGTCCTCACATATAAATACTAAAAGCAGTCATGTCTCTGTATCCGGACACTGAGATCAACTTCTGAGGCCTTCCTCCATGTGCCTCCTCCTTGAGAGGTCCAAAGGGTGGCAAGACAAGGACTGGCTTTCCCTGCAGTTGCTCCCCATCTGTGGAATGCTCTCCCCAGGGAAGTTCACCTGGCACCTTCATTATACTCCTTTAGGCACCAGGGAAAAACATTTCTTTTTAACCAGGCCTTTGGTTGATCTAATTTATATCCTATGCCCTTTTAAAATATGTTTTTTTAATGTGGGGGGTTTTATGTTTTGATTTTATCCTGTGAACCGCCCTGAGACCCCTGCGTATAGGACAGTATATACATTCAATAAATGAATAAAATCAATCAATCAATATCAGAACACATAACGAAGCAGGTGTTGCTAAACAGGGCTGCAGCACAGCACAAGACCTCAGCATTTGATGGTAATAATAGTAATAATAATAATAATAATAATAATAATAATAATAATAATAAATGAATAATGTATAATGTCTTCTACATGCGGTTGCCCACATGTACAAAGTCTATCTGTGTATGAAACCTTGTTATAATACCCATCTGGCACAGCTGAGGAAACACAACTCAATAAAGGTAGATCTTAATGGAACAGGCAAGCGTTTAGAAAATAACTGGCTCTATAATGCAAGATTTTTAAGAGTGGAAACCATGGAGAACATTTGGAAAATTTAATTGCTTGTAGGTCCCTTCTGGATTCTGTCCAGTAGAGCCAGGCCCCTAGTTGACACTTCAAAACCTTGTTCAACTTGTAAAGCTGATAATAATCCAGGCTACATTGAAGATTAGAGAACTACCTTGACAGATTAGAGAACTGGGCCAAAACAAACAAGATGAACTTTAACAGGGAGAAATGTAAAGTATTGCACTTGGGCAAAAAAAATGAAAGGCACAAATACAAGATGGGGGACACCTGGCTTGAGAGCAGTACATGTGAAAAGGATCTAGGAATCTTGGTTGACCACAAACTTGACATGAGCCAACAGTGTGACGCGGCAGCTAAAAAAGCCAATGCAATTCTGGGCTGCATCAATAGGAGTATAGCATCTAGATCAAGGGAAGTAATAGTGCCACTGTACTCTGCTCTGGTCAGACCTCACCTGGAGTACTGTGTCCAGTTCTGGGCACCACAGTTCAAGAAGGACACTGACAAACTGGAACGTGTCCAGAGGAGGGCAACCAAAATGGTCAAAGGCCTGGAAACAATGCCTTATGAGGAACGGCTAAGGAAGCTGAGCATGTTTAGCCTGGAGAAGAGGAGGTTAAGGGGTGATATGATAGCCATGTTCAAATATATAAAAGGATGTCACATAGAGGAGGGAGAAAGGTTGTTTTCTGCTGCTCCAGAGAAGCGGACACGGAGCAATGGATCCAAACTACAAGAAAGAAGATTCCGCCTAAACATTAGGAAGAACTTCCTGACAGTAAGAGCTGTTTGACAGTGGAATTTGCTGCCAAGGAGTGTGGTGGAGTCTCCTTCTTTGGAGGTCTTTAAGCAGAGGCTTGACAACCATATGTCAGGAGTGCTCTGATGGTGTTTCCTGCTTGGCAGGGGGTTGGACTCGATGGCCCTTGTGGTCTCTTCCAACTCTATGATTCTATGATTCTATGAATGTTTGATTTCCACCAAATAACTGTTCCCCAGTTCCATATAGAACATGGCTGGAAATTGCTTGAAGGGTAAAGAAGTAAGTACTGTATTTTTTGCTCTATAAGACTCACTTTTTCCCTCCTAAAAAGTAAGGGGAAATGTGTGTGCGTCTTATGGAGCGAATGCAGGCTGCGCAGCTATCCCAGAAGCCAGAACAGGAAGAGGGATCGCTGCTTTCGCTATGCAGTAATCCCTCTTGCTGTTCTGGGTTCTGAGATTCAGAATATTTTTTTTCTTGTTTCCACCCTCCAAAAACTAGGTGCGTCTTATGGTCTGGTGCGTCTTATAGAGCGAAAAATATGGTATTGCGTGTCGAGGTCCCCAGGGCCACCCCAATAACTCACACTTCACACAGAAATTTTTGTTTAAGGTTTTTGGCATAATTTTGGCCACAACTTTATTAAAATACAAAAATGTGAGTGGTTGCTTAGGCATTGGTTGAGACTATCTGCCCCCACCGTGGGGGACAGACTGACATTCCGCACGATGCGAAAGTCAGAAAAGGGGAATACACTTGGGGGTAGCGACGGAGCAGGGAACCTGCCCTCAGCCCTCCCCAAATGCAACCAGGAGCTCATTGCTAAGCCGGGCAACCAACCGAAGTCCAAAGCAAGGCCAGAGGACACCTAAATTAAAGGGAGGGTGGGAGGGTGTTCGGCAGCACAAAGCAGGTGCTTGGCACACGTTGTGCTGCTGCTTTTATACCCCCCCCCATGATCACCTGACTCAAAATGATTGGCCAATAAGCCTGGGGTGATCGTGGTGCCACTCCTGCATGAGGGTATTACTCTGCCCATGCTAGGGCGGGGGGAACTGGGTTGATGGCCTGCCCGCAAAAGGGACCATCTTTTAAGATGATCCCACTTACAGTACAAACTAAAAGCTGTCAATAGATCAAGGTGAGAGAGCAAAAGGAGCACTTTGTCCTCTGCATTCATCAGACAAAGCACTCTTCTGCTTGTTCATTTGTTCCCAGTTTGTTTATGCAGTTGTTCAGGTTTAATTAACTCTTTTTTGCTACCAATACCATGTACCTAAATGGCCTCGGCCCAGTAGACCTGAAGGAGCATCTCCACCCCCATCATTCTGCCTGGACACTGAGGTCCAGTGGCGAGGGCCTTCTGGCAGTTCCCTCACTGTGGGAAGCAAAGTTACAGGGAACCAGGCAGAGGACCTTCTCAGTAGTGGTGCCCGCCCTTTGGAATGCCCTCCTACCAGATGTCAAAGAAATAAACACTACTGACTTTTAGAAAAGCGTGCGCAGAAGCAGGGCCTCTAGACATGACTTTTCGGGGAAAGTACGGACCCCCGAGATGAATTAAGTTTGTATCCGGAGGGTCCACTGTATTATTATTATTATTATTATTATTATTATTATTATTATTATTATTATTACCTGCCTGATGGTGAGACACAATGTATGAGGAAGGAATGGTAGGAGTCTGTGAAATTCAACTTACTGTGTGCTGTTTTGCTGCTTATACACTGAGGGCTTGAGCACGAGGTAGCACTATACTCCACTAATAGAAAACAGTGGGGGTGGTGGAGCAACCGGCATGTGCATGTGCATGCGTGCACACACACAGAAACTTAAGCAAGAGTTGATATTATGCCATTAATTCATATTAATAAGAATAAGTATGAGTGCTAAAAATAACCTCCCTTGGACACTGAACAACTCTGACTCATTTTCTCTCCCATCCCTAAGGTAAAGGTAAAGGTACCCCTGCCCGTACGGGCCAGTCTTGACAGACTCTAGGGTTGTGCGCCC